CAGCATGTTTCTGGATCCAGAAAACCAGTGGACTCGTTTGGACTGGCATGAAGAGTATTGTTTCGGATCAGATAATTTATGTGCAAAATAGTTAATTTCCAATCAGAGGATAATAATTAATATCATGAATGGCGCTGATGAATTAATCAGAAGAAAATTATATCTTAACTACCATAGAAGACCAGTTGATGATTTGATGGTGATTGTGGTATGGTCCATTTACTACGTGGCGATACTGATCCATTCGATTATCTGACCTTGGTGGCCAAAAGTCAAACTTTTAAGACCTCATATATATACTTTATTGTGACACAGCACTAAATATAATTAATTCAACTAATTTAGATGGAGGTTAGCAAGTGGTCATTGTTGCATTAACATTTGAGCTTAATTGTGCAAAAATAGAGAGAGTTGTTCGACCAACTACTTGGGTCGTTAGGGTGATTTTAATTCAATCAAAATTAGTGATAAAAAATATCAAATAAATTCGACTAATGTTGTTATTATTGTTATATGTGATGACTGATGTCATGCATCAAAAATATTTGATTAGAGAGTTTACAATATTTTGAGTATCGTACCTTCGGGATTTTCAAACCGGTTAATTCAACAATTAGGTGAGTTTCACATGGGAAATTGAGCCAAGATTTCAAGTCGCAAAATATATATATATAACAAATATAAAATACAAAAAAAAAACAGAAAAAAAAAATTCAAATACGTACCTTAAAAAGAAGAATTTTAAAAAGTAGAAATACAAAAAGAAAATAAAAATAAGAAAACTTTAAAAGAAAAAAGTTATGAGTTTCAATTAAGGAAGGAAAATTTAACTTTTTTTTTTAAGAAAATTTAAAAAAATTGAAAAAAAAAAAAATAAGAAGATAATTTTTAATATCATAAAATTTAGAGGGCTGGGTATAAATTTTTTCATATATATATATATATATATAAAATACCAAATATATTATAGAGGGTGGGCCCAGGGCATGCCCCGAGCTTTCATTGGCTCCGTCCCTATCCACCATCACATTCAACTATTAGAAGATCCGATATCTAAATATTTTAAAAAATTTCTATTAATTACATCATGGTACTGTCAGTTGGCCTAAATTAGTTAGGATCTAATGTGATATAAATATTTCAAACTATTCCGTAGTTAGTTAGGGATCTAATGGGGTATAAATATTTCAAATAAGATACAAAATTATATATTCTACTTCCTTTTTAGTGAGTATCTTGTAATTAAAGATTATGTAACCAATTAAGTGAAGATGAGTAAATGAATGTGTCGGCAACTTAGGTTTCTAATCCACTAGTTAATCCTATGGTAAAGAAGACACGACAATGCCTTTTTCTATTTATCACGATATCATATAACAACATACCAATGTCAATCAAAAAAAAAAAAAAAAAAAGTTGTTATCACATGGATTTGATGGTTGACAATGTACCCACAATGATCTTATTTTAAATTAAATATCTTTTATTGCAAGTAGAAATAAAATATTACAGTGAATTTGTACCATTGAAGAATTGACATTTAAATAGTATTTCATGTCGTTATTGTCAAATATAATTATTATGGGACTTCTTAAGAAATTGGTTCTTGAAGACTAAAATTATATAACACATTTAATATGACAATGAAAATGTATAGTTTTGAAATAGAACACTTTTCATCAACCCAGTGTGATTAGGGTCATTTCATGAAGACTTTGAAATCACCTTAATTTCAACAATACAAGCACCTTAATTAGCTCTTCACAGTGACCAACAGTTTGGTACCTTAATTAGCGTTCCAAAAGCACAATACCTTTCTTACTCGTGTTAAAAAATAGTTTGAATATTACTATGCCCTTCGTTTTCTTGTGCCATGTGACGTGTGTCTAAGACTCTTTCCATTCTTACAAGCTTAAAGATATTTTTTATTTAAATTTGATTGGATGTGATATACTTACCCTTTTCATGGTAAGACCACTCTATTTAGGACCTAATTACATATCCTAATCTCCACTAGCTCAAGACTTTCTACATTTAAATTCGATGTGAAACGAAAACCTCGAAACGTGTCGATTTCAACAATTTTCGATCACAAAAATAGGAACTTTTATCATTTTTTCCGGGACAGAGGAGTCCATGATACACAAATAGTGCACTACAGTTGTACCACGCCCTTAAAGCAATATGCAAAACTTTTTGTGGGTATGAAAATGGTGTATGATGATGATGCCACATTGCCACACATCCTTAAAAATGTTGACCTAGGACAACCTAATGGTATGGTTTGGAAGTAGACACAATCACACACCAATTCAATTTTTGCAGTTAAAGGAAATGAATTGGTTTTACGTTTTCCAAATGAAGCGTGGTGTGATTCTATATTTGTATATTTCTTTCAAACTGATGAAAGAGTACACCACCATATATATATATATATATATATATATATATATATATATATATATATGACATTGGCATAATGGTAAGTTTCACTTCACCATTTCTATACGGTACGTTGTTTTCACAGCAACATTGTGGTGGTGGAACGAAACTTGACAACACCTCTAAAATGTCAATTTTAGTAAAGGAAAATAATGAATCAAACATTAATTGGATGGCATCGTATCAAACTCATCTACTGCTTGTTTGTCTTTTGTATCACTCAACGTTGGTCTTTTAGTACTAGTATTCAATCGGAGGTTATCAAACAAAACCTAGTGATATTTTTTGGATTTCTAAAATAAAAGATCAAATTCGTTAATTATGGAATTCAATTACTGTGAAAGGAGTGGTGAGTTTCATCACATGATGACATTACGGTGATGGTTCCTTCACATTACTCCTCTCGCATAAATTAAATTCACTGAATTATGTCCTTAAATCATTGCTCAAAAAAATAAATAAATAAATACAGGTTATAAAAGTCATGTTGCCCCCGTAACAATATATCAACATGAGGCCTGGTTTATGACTTGTGTTAAATAAATAAATAAATAAATAATTTCGGTTCAATTTGTATGGGCTCATCGTGACTTGTAAGAACTCATGAACAAAACAACTTGTATAGGCTTTGATAAACTAAGCTTATATTTTAAAAGTTATGTAATATTTATTATGTAGAAGCCTTGATAGCCCAGTGGCTTAGTGCCTTGATTCTCTGCATCTACTAATTTAATTTCTAACATTTCTTGTAAAATTTATTATACAAATTTAAAATATAATAACTCAAAAAAATATAACGAAAATAAGAAGTTGAATTGATTAAATTGAATGCAAGTGATTTTATCCTAAATCTAAAACATCTTACACTTCAAATTAGGTTGTTTCTTTGCTCATCATGGTACAAGGCTATAAGCAAAAAGACAGTCACACACCCTACATATGGTTGAAAAATAGAATGGGACTAGCCATGATCTAGTAGTGATAGCAACAATCGACCCAACCCTATAACAAGTTGAATGGGGCTTTGCTTTGAATAGGTAAATGCCTAAAAAGTAAAACACCGTCACGGCCTTATCTTTATTATCTTATGCAAACTGGACAATGATAAGGTTAGGCCGGGGCTTTGTCTTTGACCATTTTGTTCACAGCCTCATTCTTCCACGTCTCCAATAAATAATAGTCAATTGCCCTGCAACTGGATAACTCTGGCCTACCAATGTAACTATTAGTTAGTCACTGGACACCTATATAGTATACATATACATACATATACATGTGCATGTAATGTATGTGCACCTATTTATATTTCAATTGAGCTACCTCTAATGGGCTAACGCCCATGATTTAGGGCCTGTTTGGGTGGTTATTTCAGAAACTCAGTTTCCGTTTCTAGAGCCCAATAATGGTTAGTTTACTGGCATTGGTCTTTCTGAAACCATAATTTTTACTGGCCCGTATATATGGCGGAAACAAATGTTAAAGGCCCATGAAAGAAAAGTAGCCAATAGATTCATCTTTTATTTTTATTTTTTTGTAAAAGGAAATGATTTTCTCTCTCTCTGATTTCGGTATCACAGCTAGATCTAGGGACGGCAAAATCCCCGTACCCAGCGGGTCCCCGCCCCACCCCGCCCTGTTTATGGCGGGTTTGGGGACCCATTTATGTAAATGGGGAGGGGATGTGAATTGTATTTGAAACTCCAACGGGGGATGGGGCAGGGGCGGGGGAACCTTCCCCCGCCCCGTTTATAGTGCATTTTTTCAAAATTATCCTTACATGTTATAAAATATTACTCAATTACATAACTATATATAAAATATATTCACTTCTGAAAGTGAAACCCTATATCTATTCCCTTGCAGCATAGAAAAAAACATAGTTGTTGTGCGTCAAATATCTGAACATGTTTTAAATTGTTATAATTGTGCTGAAACTTTATTTAATTATTAGGTTGAAAAATATTATGACTGTGTTAATTTTGTTGAAGGTGAATTGGAATTTAAAAATTGTTATGCGGGGCGGAGATGGGAGCTAATGTGGCGGGGCGGGGTGGGGATGGGGAAAGGGGTTGAAAATTAAACGGGTATGGAGGGGGGATGGGGGTAAAAAATTTGACCGTGGATGGGGATGGGGAATGAGATCCCTGACCCTATTGCCATCCCTAGGTAGACCTCTTGCCCCATTGCCATCTCTAACTAGACCTCTTGAAAATGAAGGGAAAAAAATCATTTTATGTTGATTTTTTTTTCAAAAACCCAAGAACCAAATCACATGAGGATTGATATATATATATATAAATTTTTCTGAAGTGACATAGTATGAAATTGGTGACTTTGAGATGTTTGGTGCAATTGGGTGGCATAGACCAACTTAGGATGAAAATAAATGCATTCATTAAAAATGGATTTACAATTAAACCATCTATTTATTGTGCTAAGATATTATACTCCTAATAATTTAGAATTTTCAGTAGTTTTTATAACTAAGAAGGTTTCTACAATTATTAATACAACCACACCATTAAATTGCATGCTTTAATTTATAATTCACCTCAAAATTCAAAATGTGAACCTCATTCTCTATTAATCTCATACATGGCAAAATAAAATTCAAAATATTTAAATTTAATTATACAAAAAATTATCTACCATAAAAAAAAAGTAGCTCTTTTTTTTATCTACCCCTCAGCAGAGCCTTCTCAGCTGTGTCCATCTCTTCCAAGATTCTTGCCTTGCGCTTGGCCGGTATCGGCGCCGTGGGACCAAAGCTGACATAATGGCCGGAAACGGCATTAAGCGCCGAGTAAATGTCGCGGAACGAAGCCCGGCCGAGCAGAGCCTTCTCTCTCCTGTACTTAGCCACCCATGAATTGGATGACTCTCTTAGGTCAGCCACTGCAGTGGCCACATTAGGATCAGTTTTCTCCATGTTAATGGTGGTTCTCACCTTGCTAATAACCTCTTCTGTGTCCTTTATGTATTCCTCATCTGAAGTGGCCCACGCAGACGTGACCGGAAGGAGTAATGTAGGAGTGAGAATGCCGGCGGCCAGAGATATGAACTCGCGGCGGCGGGGCTGTGGGGCGGTTGTGGTGGCGGTGGCGGTGGTGGTGGGATTGGAGAGTTTGGACCTGATGGGGGTGATGAGTGGTCTTGGTGTGGAGGTGGTGGGGGTGATTAGGGTTGGGGAAGCCATGGTTTGGTTTGTTTGGTGGTGGGAGAGAGCAGAAGGGTGGTGGAGTGAGAGAGGGTGTATTTTTAGGAATGGAGGAGATAGGGAATAGGGTTTGGTTTAATGCCACGTGTGCTTATCACCTTATCTGATAAACTAGGTTGTGGATGAGAAAAGCTCTATGAGATTTTGGTTTGATATGAGGTGGGACACCCACAAGGCCTTTACCATATCAACGAGTGTTGGTAAGAGTTTTTCCTAATTGGAGGTCCAATGGTTAGTTTTTCATGTGAGTGTAATGTTCATCGTACCTTAGACTTATTTTTGAAACCGAAATAATTAAAATTATTAATGATAGGAAGTGAGGTCTAAAACGGAGTCTCAATTCAGATCATCAATAGCTGTAGCTATTTCATTTTCACAAATAGACTTAACTATTTCATTTTCATTTTCATAATTAGAGGTTACAAAAGTTAAAAATTAGTCATGTAAATATACTTAAAAATCATTTGTAAATAGTGTCCTATACAAATGATATTTATGCTTTAAATGGTTGGTGGTTTGACTAATTGCGGGCATTCATGTTATGTTTAGTTTCAATGAAGCCAAGTTTCTTTTTAAGGATAGAAAGATCATAACTGTGTCTTGTTTTTCTAGATGCCAAATGAGATGAGTTACACCCTGCCCAAACACTCCCAATTGGGATGAAAGTCTTGTAAATTATTGTAACTTTTCTTTCTGCACAGATTTTTCCTTTTTTTTTTTTTTTTTTTTTAATGTCTAAATTAAAATTTTGCATTTCCCCTTCAATCCTAATTCCTTTTAGGTAGGTCTTTCATTTTGGTAAATGAGAAATGAATAAATTCTAAGATTATGTTCGGCAGGTATGGAATTGAAGTTTTAGAATTAGAAAAAAATAATTCAAAAAATTAAATTAAATTCTTTTTTTTTTTTTTTTTTAATTCCAACACTCTAATTCCAATTTAAATTTCAAGACTCCAATTCCTCAAACACATAAGTATACTCCAATTGATAATTGTAACACAAATATACACATCTTTATTTCAAAGAAAAGTGGTGAAAAAAAAAACGAAGAAAGAATTCAAAGAAAAGGAAGACCAAAACCATATTAAATCTAAAGAAATGGGCCTTCCGAATCTAGTTTTAGGAAATAGATCAAAACTTAAATACAATGGGCCTCCAATGGAAACAAGATGGTCTAACATGACCATGGAAAAAATCAAGCCCAGTTAGGCTGGAAGGACTCTTAGATGGGCTTGAATATTAAAATCTGTATGAGAACACCGAATAATCATTTATTAATATATTTTGGATTTTAAAAAATATATATTTGTAGCACACAAATTATCATCAATATAATTATATGAGACGTGAAAATGATAGTTATTACCTTTATTAATTTTGTCTTAGATTGACGTTATTGCACCCTAGCATGCTAGAAATATAGATAGGGTATTAGGGAATAAGCAAGCATTAAGTATAATGGCGTAGATTAAATAAAATTTAAATAATAATAAAGTTATTTTGTGCGTGTAAGGAAAGAGATCAAATTATTTTGGATTTTGGGATGGAAGGAGTATAATTGTCGAATTACATCACCGGCAAAGTGTATGGGAATAGTGAGATTTAGAAGAAAGGGTATTCAAACGTAAGATCATAAGGTGGGGACACTTAAGGCCTGACCTTTTACCACTCGGACAATCACACCTATGTAATGTAGATTAGAAAAGAGTTTTGTTATTTATAAAAGCTGACAAGAATCTTATTGGACTCTATTTATTAGAATAACTACAAAAACCATTCGATTTTTACAGCATTACTCTATACAAAAAACATGGTTAATTAAGAAGCACAATATTTGTGTAGTTAATGTGGTTAGGTTTGAGAGTAGGTATATTTCACTTCTATACATACAAAGTGAATGATCTGAGTTGTTCGTTTTGCCTACATTTGAAGTCTTAAATGAGTTGAGTAGATGATGAGATGGTTTGTAGAAGAAGAAGAAGAAGAAGAAGAATGCTCCACTTGACTTTATAAGCCAAATACAAATGCAGCCATCTGAGTTAAGTGGAGTTCTTTTAATGGCAGGGTAACAATAGTAGTTGAGTTATCAACACCTTAATAATTTCTCACTTGCACACACACCCACCACATACAAATTGTATACAACACTCTTACAAAAGGTATACAACATTCTTTCTTTTAATACCGCCAAACAATAAATGACGCAAACCATTTCAAAAGACTAACCGAGAATTCTGCTTATGGCAATGTCACCTAAGTATTTTTTCCAACTCTCCAAGAAAAACTAATCTCAGTACAGCACATAACCCCACACTCACATGCACATGCTTAGAGATAGAGATAGAGATAGGGGGAGAGAAATGCCCCTTCAAATCCAGTATTAATGTTAATGTGATATTGATACCGATACCTAATGAGTAGTGATAATCATACCGCATATTTGCAGTAAATTACTTAACTGAATAATTTTTAATTGACTATTTATACCAAATACAATTAAGTGGAATGTTTCACTTTTTTATTTGACCAATTAAAATAGTAAGCCTAATAATTCAGTGTAATTATTCGGTGCAATAATAATTTTTCATTTGTAATTGGTGATGTATTTATCTAATAATTCACTGTAATTATTCAGTGCAATAATAATTTTTCATTTGTAATTGGTGACGTATTTATCTAATAATTCACTGTAATTATTCAGTGCAATAATAATTTTCATTTGTAATTGGTGACGTATTTATCTAATAATTCACTGTAATTATTCAGTGCAATAATAATTTTTCATTTGTAATTGGTGACGTATTTATTGACTTTTTTGATGTCACATTTAAATGTGTCTTGATTTAAACTTTTAATAAAGCAAATTAGTTGTTGCATATAAAAAGGACCCCTAAGAATAAGAGTCAATTTTGCACGAATGAATATGATTTAAGATCTCCGACTGGTCTTTATATAACACATCCCTAAAAGTCATTTTCTTTAAACAAACACGCACTATAAAACCACTAGTCATTTGGCTTTGCTTAGTATAGATTAATTGCAGTCACCGTCACTGTCCATTTTCTTCTTAAATACTTGAAACCATCATCCTTTAGAAACCATAAACTAGTGTAAAGTTGTTATCTCATTCCATAATCATACCCAACCAACCACCAAATAATAAAAATCAACATCGATCACTAATTCGAATGAATGATATGATCTCTCATCTTTTAAAAGAAAAAGATTAAAGAACTCGGTCTCTCCAACACAAGCACGTAGTTTTGTGCTTGCACATTTATTGGCCGTTCAATCCGTTGGAATAACGAAAGAGATAGGTAGAGATACCCAGGAAGCCATGCATTATCTGAACCTTATTCCAGGAAACCATCTCCTTAACTCGCCGCCAAAACTTTCACCCAACTTTGGCCAAAACCTAGACTATAAGAGAAGACCTATCTTCGCACATTCTCCATCAACAACCCTTTCTCTCTCTCTAAAAGAACTGTCAAACAATGGCTTACAAGCCTCACTCATTCCTCGCTCTCCTTCTCGTCTTCAACTTCGTGCTTGCCATAGCAGTGCAGGCACGTGACGTCCCGACAAACTCCAAGACCACCGACGAGAAACTACAACCCGAAATGTTCATGCACCATGACGGCAGTGTGCTCATTCCTGGCATTGGCCGTGTCATGCTACCCCCCAAATTCCATCAAGGCTTCAATCCGTTCACCTACAATCCGGTAACTGGCAGCAGCGGAGGGAGTGGCGTCGGCAGCACTGGCTCCGGTGGTGGGACAGGCCGCAGCTACGTTCCAGGCGGGGACGATACGTTTGTTCCCAACCCGGGTGTCGAGGTCCCAATTCCCGGAGGTGGCGGCAACCTTCCTGCACCGGCTAGTCCTTGAGCTTGTTTAGCGTTTCTTCATCGTTTTCGAAGAAATTAGCTTGAACGTGTTATTGTAATGGAGTCTTTCACTACCGCTGTTGGTCAGTCTTTATGATTATATATGCTTGGGCTGTAGAATAATTCTGTTTTTATGAATAAGAGTGGCTTTCTTATATTTTCTTTACTCAATCTTCACACATTATTGGAGGGAAAGCTAAGGACAGTTCAATAATGAATCTAGTAGAAAATTACAGATATATTATTAATAATTGAATGGATTATTTTGCTTTGATCACATACATATATTTAGAATAAAAAAACACTTGATACCATAAATAAACTAAAAACATTAATAAACCTAATAGCTGAAGAAACCCATGAGAATAAGAATCAACTCAAAACATTTACACATATATATGTATTCCTGCTTACATTTAGTGCATTAAAATTTTTATTTTGGTTTCATGGTACGAAATGAATGAACCTGACCTGCATAGGTGGACACCAGCATTATTTGCATCTATACAGAATATCTTAAGTGGGGCCGGCATTGATCAATTTGATCTTCTGGTTAAATAGTGGTACTTCGTTAACCACGTATTTACAAAATAAAAAATAAATAAAATAAATAAAAAAGTGTAGATTCAGTGTGAACATATCATTTATTGAAGGGTGCAAAGATGTGTGTGCTGGTCAAGAATGTCTGTGAAAGTATATGCAACAGATAATAAATACAGCAACAATTGCATTTCCAGAATATTGTCAACTGATAAACATTGATCTGCAACAACCATATAAAGTTGGAGGTGCACTTTCCAATTTAAAAAAAGTGAAAAAAAGGGTTTGAGATGCAGCAAGGGTTGCAATTTGCAAATGAGTTGAGCCAATTTTTAAGTTTGCAAATGGTTTACAAACTCTGAATGTACACAATTATACGCAAACCGCGTGCATCATTTTAAGTCCAGATCTTACCGTCGTCAACAATTTAGATTACCTGTGCAGACAGGCATGCATCCCTATGTAATTCAAAAATTAACTAAGACATGCCGGTGCTGCTTCTCATTTCTGATTACAAAGCAAGAGTTTTTATAATCCACTTATAACACCATTAACACCCAGATGTTCAGTAAACTAAAATCACTAATTTATTCCGAAACATAATGGAATCTATTGCAAAGTAAATTTGCATAACCTTTCGGAAATATAGATACATATATGTGTGTATATATATATATATTTGATAAATTTAATAGAGACATGTGAAGATAGTTACTTTGCAATAGATGCTTGAACACCTACCAATTTCGTTTCTCAAGTTCCATGAAATCCAAATTGAAGTCGAGATCCATATTCAGATATGCCATCAACCAAGCTAATAAATACACCAGCAACCAGAAGATCTGTCACAACACAAGCTTCATAATTGACATAGTTTGTCCAATATTAAACAAATAATTATGGTAGCAGTATGTTCCACAAAATAAGTTGTTCAAATAATGTCGGAACACATTTAAGAGTCAATCTTCCAGGATTGATTGATTAAATGCATGTCTTACACCCCTAGAAGTCATTTTATCTGCAGAGATTCATGATATAAGCACTTCATTCCCCTTGTCATTTTCTCTATATTCAGAATATAAACTTTTCATTCCCACCCGAAATCGTTTTGCTTAACTTAATTCTGCTTCCAGTCACCATCAGTGTCCATTTCCATCTTAAATACTTGAGCTACTTTTAAAGAGGTGTTAAAGCCCATCCCTTGGGATAACCAAATGCAACCAACCACCAAACAACAAATTCCACCCTAAAAGCATTATCATTTCAGAGAAAATACCAACTAATAAATAAAAACAACTATTCTCATCAAAAGTTCATTCCAAAGCCCTAATATTCCTGCATGGTTTGGAACTTTTGTGAAAAAATTATCAAGAGTTTCTTATATATAGTTGTCATTAGCTGTTGCACTAATAAAAAAGTTCAGGTTAACAAACGTGACGTCACAAGTTCGAGTCCAAGAGTAGTAAACATCTTTCTTAGAAGCAGAAAAAATTTGCATAATGACCATCAGTTACTTCGTATAGATGCTATGACGTTTTTGATTTTCGTCGTTTTTCTTTTTTTCGAAAAAAATTGTTGCCACAAGGGCATTTCCGTCTTATCACGTTTTGCGTACGGGATTGTGGTTGGGTCCAATTGCATATTGTACATTTTTATTTATGTGGATCAAGTGGTATTTGTATGTGGTGCATTAATGTGTATGAGGTGTAAAATGGAGACATAAAGAAAAAAACAAATAATAAAAGAAAATTTTGTGGGGCCCGCCACTAATCCCACATGTGGCTAGAGACCATTTTTTTTAGTCTCTCATTTCTCTCCTCCCGTCCATTTCTCTGTCTTTCTCATTTCCTCTTCATTTTCTTCTCTTTTGGCTTCAATTTTTGATCTTTGATTTCTCACTCCACACTTAGTGATTTTGAGTGCCGTTTGAGGCGAAACGGAGAGCATGGCGAGCTCTACGCATTGATATCAACAATTTCAGCTTTGAGCCTCCCCTTGACCTTTGAAAATTTGAACCCATTTTAAGGGTTTTGCTCTAAATCAAGGTAGGGGCTCTTAATCCACAATTTTCTTACTCCTATGTGAATTACATCTTCTAAATTGTTACAAGACATGCTTATTTGCGCTAGTTGTAGTTTAAAAGTAGTTAGAACATGTGTATGTGGGTATGTGAGAGCTTGTAATTAATGTTTTATGTGGAAAATTTGCCTATGTGATGATTTATATAGGTTCGTTATGCTAGATGTATTGTTGTATAAGAGCATGTTGAAATTTCTTGAGAAATTCTTGTGAAATTATGCCTTGCTTACTTGAATTGAGTTGGTTGTGTAATGATGAGTATATTAGCATGATATAAATGCATCTATGCATTTACGTTGGGCAAGAAATGGAAAGAATTGATTTTGAAATGAAAAAGGGGAGTTTTGGGAAAGTATATTGATGAAAATGTTTTGATAAAACCCGGTCGCTGCGGAGTCACCAACGGGCCGGTAGGTTAATGTAACCTAGAGGGAACTAGGGAGATTGCCCTACCGTGGTTGAGCTATCTGGGCCCCATAATGACGCTGCGGAATCACCAAAGGTTAGGGACAGTAGCCAATCCTTCTCTCGGCGCTGCGGAGTCACCAAAGGGGGTTATATCAACAATTTGGAAAGTGATGGATGAACGGTTTTGAAAATGGAGAGTGACATTGACATGCATTACATTCCATTGCATTATATTGTTAATGTTGAGCTTGGATATGATGTTGTATTTTCCCGATTTTGTATGACCCCGATTCCTATCGCTCTATTCTTTGCTTGGATTCACGGGAACACAAGAGACGTGTTTTAAGTGTCACCTACTGAGCATATTGCTCATCCCATCATATTCTACATTTTTCAGGTCATGGAAAAGAAGTAGCCGATGGTAATCCAACTTAGCCTTAGCTTGGAGTAGAGAAATGCCCTTTTTCATATATTTTGTAAATGAATCTAACTTTGTAAAATATTAACTCAAGGTGTATTATTTTGCAATATGTGATGTATTGAGGTTCATTGTGTATATGGTTATTTGAGAGAATGTAATTAAGTTTTACTCACTCAAAATCAGTTTGTATATTTTAAGTAACGTGTGTTAAATTACGTTAACAACGTGGTTGTTATTATTGCAATGTAGTGTTGAAATGTATTTAAAATTACACGTAAGTGTAGTGGCGTGGGTGGTTGAATTACCAATGTTGGTGTATTTGGGTTATCACTGGACAGTGGGAAAAGACAGTGGGAAAAGAAGTGAGAGTTTCCTAGAACAGGTCGGCGTGTGGCTTCTTAAGTAGACCGGTATCTTCATAGTGTGAGTCATTGTGGCTCACATTGCAAACCAGTCGACGTATGGCTTCTCATACGTCGGCCGGTATCATGTCCCAAACCAGTCGACGTATGTCCCATACGTCGACCGGTATCCATTGTAACACACGTTCCAAACCAGTCGCCGTATGGCGACATACCGGTCGGCAGTGGGTATTTCCACTGTTCATAACCCAAACCAGTAGACGTATAGTGTACATACGTCGACCAGTTTCTGCCATTTAATTAAACTAAATTTTAGTTTCCCAAATTACACCTTGGCACTCAATAAATGTTACACGTATTTATTTTATGGCCCAATAAAGTGCAATAATTATATTTTAACCACCGAAAGGACTATATTACCCCGAACTTTATTTTATTTATTATGTGACCCAAGTCAATGACCAATATACCCTTTTGAGTCTCAAATTATTGAATTGTGCAATTTGCCATTTTGTCCTTTTTGGACCATGATATTTAAATTTAACGTGAAATTACCGTATTACCCTTGGATGATTTTGGGTTGGGAAATGACCCGTTTAATGATCCGGATCCATGAGGAGTTGGGTCGTTACAGAATGGTATCAGAGCGATGGTTCGAAAACCTTAGGACAACGGGTAGAGGCCTATGTAGGATTGCATGGGAAGTTGTTTGTATTGCGTATGAGAGTATTTGTTACGTGTTTTGATATTTGAAGAAGCATGCTAAAGTGTTTATTTGCCTATGTGTTACATGTTAAAATGTTTAAATGTTTGAGCAGCATACCTACTTGTTTACTTATTTACCTGTTTAATTGCCTACGTGTTAATTTGCTTACGTGAACACATGCTCATATGTTATATGTGTGTAGCACTAGCTTAAATGATCCATGAATTGGTGTTTTGTTTTCAGTATGTAATTGTTTAGCAGGCACATTTTTATTTTGTATTAACTCTTTGAGTTATCCTTTATGACAGGAAAGGTATCAGCATTGTGAGTAAGGGAGATGTGAATAGCATGATCTCTTGAGTCCGGTTTGATTTAGACGTGTTGTTCCATTAGGAATCCTTTCCCTAGAAACTAGTAATGGTAGAAGAGTTTAATCTTAGGTGTCTTCTGGGATGGAAGTTCCCATTTTCTTGCACAGGCAAGAGTTTGGGTTGTGTTATCTTAGTGTGGTAAGGGGACTTTTAGGGTGATGAATCAATAGAGTATGGTGCGTGATTCATGGGATTCTTGCACGTAAGCAAAGTTGATTAGAAGTCATAGGATGCGAGGTGGTATGTAGTGTATGATTTGTAAGGTTCAAGTGTTGTACG